ACCTCAAGCTGCTTCAAAGGTTGTGAAATGGAGGAATGCAACCTTTTCATCGAGGGTGTAGATTCGGACGGTTTTTTTTTGGGAATTTCAGCAAATCTGACCCAGTGACAATCGCGCCGCAGCTGCCGTTGAATCGGCCTTTGATACACACTCGGCTGTTTTGATATACTCAAGCAGGAATCAAGATTAAATCGCAACCCCGTGCCTTCAGGATTTCTGTGCATTTCTGAACGAACCTGACTTTGAGGTCACACAAAGTTAATGCCTCTTTCCTCGAGTCGATATTTCAGTAAATACACAAAAGTGTGCAGCGATGAAAGACAGTGCATAGATGACAAGATGAGGCGTCCATAACATTATTTTGCAGAATTTTTTTTGATTTGTTTTGCAGGATTTATTTTATTGATTATTAATTAATTTGCTCTGTTAGAGGGGGTCGTGCCAGGATCTCGATTTCGGGGGGGGGGGTCGTACCTCTGCGACCACGTACTCGACACGATTTTCACCCTGCTTGACCGAAGAGAAGCGTTCACACGACCTCTGCCTGGGTTGTGCCTTTAAGAAGAATTTCCTGCCCTTAGCCCGTTTCTCTTCTCCAAGCTGATTAAACGAATCCTGATCAAAAAGATACTCCAAAAAAGCTTTATCGGAGCGCTCTCCCTTTGGCGGCGCTCTGATTTCGCGACCTCGGAGTTTAGCATGGAAGTCGACAATGAAGGAAACATGCATTGATTGAGAGATGGGGAGAGCAGGAGAGTGGGATTGTAGCAGAGAAGGATATTCCGCTGAATGGACCAAGTACGTACCGGTTGTATCCGCTGGAGAGTAGTTCGCCGCGATATCAGGAGAGCCGGATAGTGTAAGGGAGTGAGATTTAAATTATGATACTAGAAGACCAGGAGACTACGCTGAAATGAATTGATACGTATCGGTCAACTACCACAGTTATGGGACTTATTGAGACTGGAGTGTCTGCTTGATGGCGGAATCGTGCACATACAGAAATGCTGCAGTTTTACAATGACAAGCAATCGTCACAAGCTTAACGAGTATTCTGAATAAACTATTAATTCATATTGTACCGCAGGTCTTTGGTCAGTGTAAGCAGCTCCCAAAATGTGGTTTCGAGGATCACTCTTTTGATAAGTGCGCTAGTAATTTTGGTGGCTTTGTGGGTGGCTTACGCCAACGAACGATGAAGGATGGGGCATTTTATCAGCCAAACAATTCAGAGGACTACGCGGCATTCCACGCCAGTGTTGAAGATTCCATCCTCCAAGATTCTGACAATGCAGATGGTGCGGAAATGAACATAGAAGACTGCTATGACGACACAGATTTTGAAAGCAGTAGAAGGCGACGAAAACTCTTTGGAGCACAAGCACCCGGTCAGACCCGAAGCGCCTCTACGCTCTGCGGCCTGCAATCCTACTCCAAGTGTGGTCCCTACTGGATATTGGCTTTGTTCCACGAATGGAATGAGAAAAATGTGTATTTGTAGATGGTTATCAAATTTTCAATATATATTTAAAAAAAACATATTCGAGCAGGAGATGGTGTGAAGACAAGAGGAGCTACCGCGCGCATGGTCCCTGAATCAAATCCTAGATCAAGTCCGGCGTACGTCAGCCAAATTTCTATAGATTATAGTTGGTGCTAGGAGTGAAAACTACTACTTGAAGCACATCGATAACATAATTTTATTGAAGTCGTAGTCTAACTGGTTGTCGCAAAGCTGTCAAATTAGAAGGGATACCTTTTTGAGTCAAAGCGGATCTCAAAAAGCGCTTGGGGAAGGCCGAACATGCTATCTTTTGTCTCTTAGCCCATAAACCTCCTTGGTCTCAACAAATGATTTCAGAATGTCCCCACTGTGCTACTCTTTGAAACCACTGCTCATACGGACGTTGTGACAGTCGATCACGAATTTTATAGTCGATCTGTACATTTTCTTCAATCCTCTTGAGCAGCCATGGGCCACCTCAATCTTTACCAGCCTGCACTTCTTGTGCAATGGAGAACCAATAAGCAAGTCCATCAGGTTTAATGGACCCGCTCAATTCGCGACTTCGACTACTCTAGGACATGTCAGTTAAGCAGTCTGGACACACACTGAGCTTTCCAGCATGAAAACCTTTGAATTTGCACTGCTCTCACAGCCTATCCTCCGCTACTTCTATTCTGGCCAACATCAGTATGTCGAACGGCTTTAGTTTTGCCCAGATGAAATAGAATTGTTCCGCCGTCGTCGTCATTGCCGAGGGGGCTGTCACAATCACAGTCATATCGCATCCCTCATATATCATCGGCCTGAAGCCCTATCATTCCTACCTTCACCGCCTCGGTCACTCCCTATATCTCGTGATATCTTATCACCTCATCAGCTTGTCGTCATAGTAACGCCATATGTGCGCAGTGTCGAGACTGCATTGGCTTGTCGCCAAACTCGGTTCGATAGCCTGGAAGCATGCCAATTCCGGAAGTGCTTAGCTCCGCGATCTCTCACTGCGCATGTGTTGAGCGTGTCTATGCATCTCACAGTTAATCTCACCCTCAGCTTCTGACGTCCTACCGTATTCACAGTGAATTCCTTTAAGTCGGTCTTGTGTCGAGCGTCATAATCTCCACCTAATGTTCTAGTCGTTAAGAACTTAGATAAATGTTGCAGCTCATATCGGGAGCATAAGATTGTATAAGCTTTTTATGCAACACCTGCTGCCTTTCATCTCAATATTAATCGCTTGCATGGATTTCAACCGCTAATTGATTTGTTGGCAGAGGGATTCTTCCTTGAGGTCGTTGAGGAATCCAACAACAAAAAGCTTGAATATGGGTCTTCTATATCACAGTTTGAACCGTTGTCGAAACAACTGTGACTATTGCGCCCAGTAGAGAGCCACTGGGCCCTCATCTGGTCCTTCTCTACTGTAATTTTGTAGGAGGATAGCAAGTTTCAACCCTTTTAGGAACCACCTGTAATTGTTTCGATGAATTTCTGCGAGACTGATGAGAAATGAGAATTTCAAGCGTTAGCTCGGCCTCATCAAAGCTGTTTCTTGAAGAGATATAACCAACTCGCAAGCTCGTTGTAGCAGAGTCAGAGCCACTAGTCTCAACTTCAGTGAGAAAGCATTTTCGAGGTACTCCCTCACTGCTTACATGAGATTCCTGCGGACCGTTCGGTACCCATCCTTGGCCATTTTCTGGAGCCAAAGTCACTCACCCACTATGCTGAATGGTATCTTGGAAACAGCGCTAGATTTTAAAAGGGCAGCATGTGATTAGCCAAGTGACCATTAACTCTACTCGTCTTCTATGTCAGGAACCTCCGTAGCGTTTCGATATCATTCACCAGTTACTGTTTTAGAGTTGTCATGCTTGACGCAGTGAACGTATAAAATCCAAAAACTAAATGATTTGGTTGAGTGATGAATATACTCAAAGCTGACTTCTGGATAATATTCGGGATTAGCGAATCCTTACGCTAATCGCGTCCCTCAACGGCTTCAGTTCCTCCTGATGCAAGCTCTAAGAATCTCTCACAAATGGATCATTACCGACTGCGGTTCTAACGCCAGTGTGGTGATGGAGGGGTGATTTGCGCCGGCGCCTAAATAGAGTCCATTATAAACCAGGTGCCTGCCGCGCCCATGGCTGACTGCTCGTGTGCCCTCCCGGTGGCCGAGATGCAGAATTAAGCCGCAATTACCTGGGCCGTAAATTTTTGCAACAAGATTATCTATGGAGCTTGCTTGAAGCAATACACCTCTCTAACTGAGCTCTTCGCAAGACGCTAAAAAATGTGGCAACTGCAGTAGCGATTAGAAGGATTACGGTGCGCTAACTATCGATTTTCACTCAGCTTAACACATCAGCATTTGAAGCAGTGTTAGCTCCTCAGAGACGCCTTGGAAAATCGATTTTCAGCTTCGACACAATAAGCGAAACTTCGGCAAAATAACACGATTTTTGGTTTCAGAAAGGTTTGAGGGTTTGATGCGTAAGCCTTCTGAAGGCGTGCAAATAGCAATGGAACCGGAAGACATACTTCTTGAAGACGAACGCATTCAACGGCCAATCCCAAAGGTATAGCATTTTTCATTTAATTCAGGAAAACCATCGATTTTTGAACCGCGATATTTCCAGAAACTCCGCCACGGCAAAAGGAGGCGAGGAAGCGACGGCTTCCGGTGAGTCACAGGAATTAAAGTGAACAAGGCGGAGGACCTGACCGACAGAAAAAAATTCGTACTAACTAGAAAAAAGTCATAAACTTAAATAACTAAGGAAAACAACCTAACAGGCTTATTGTGGAACATAAATATGTGGACTTGAATCAGACGGGATTCTGCAATTTTCTCTGCCCACTCAGATGGCCATGCTTCTCCAAGTGACCCATGATGGCTCAAGGATGCCATTCAACGATGGCTAGCCGTCCATCCGCTGCGGCTAGACGTCCATGCGACGTGGCGCGTGGGGTTTTTCATCTTTCGCCACCGTATACCAAACGATTTGAAATATTCGGAAGCACATATTAGAGAAATGCTGGCCGTTTTCGAGAAGATGCATTGATCCGCCCTCGAAAGCGTCTTTCTATTTCATGGAATCGTCTCGCAATCGCTGCGAGCGTTCCGCTTCCGACAATGGACCTATACAACGTCCTTCTTCACAACTCACAGACAGGTAGTTCATGTCAAAGCTTCAAACTTTATTTCACCCACTCTCCTCTACAATTCCCTTAGCGCCGCCCGCCGTCAGGTTGACCTCAACGAACGTGATGATGGCGGGTGAGGAGAGGTGATTAGCACGCTCCACCTCCCTATCCGTTTCCCACCAGCCACCAAAAGCTCAACACCTCTCCTGGCTCCCATCTGTCCTCATTTCTCACATTGCTGACGACTGGCTGGTGCCATGCGACTTCTCTCCACAGGCAGATTAGGTAAGAAACGATGAACCAGCGGCTGTGAGCCTCATGAATCAACGTGACTTCAGTCACATTGAATGAGTTCATGAGATATCGTCGTCGGCTTGAAAGTCTTCTCGAGCTGTTTCTCCATCTCTTGTGCTGCATCAGTTTCGACGATCTCTCGGAGTTCTTTGTGTTTTCGATGTTCTGTCTAAGTCTTGTGAAGCCCTCGTGAGTGCGGCTGTCATCAGCAATGCAACCTCTACTCACGATAGTTGTTCCATTGACCATGAAACAATGGAAAGGAATACATAAAACATGCAAAACGCTCTGTGTCGGCACATTGTCGCTCTGAGAGTCCAACTACATCTACGAGTGCACGCTAGGTGGCCGGTCCTTCATTCAGCTCTGAATGTTCCCTATCTTCGGCTACAGCACATTCGTCAGCGCCGCTCTACCTTCACGTCACCATTTCTGTGAGCATATTAGTCTAGAGTGTTGAGCTAAAGCTGAAAATCATAGGCATCAGCTGGGATGAGATGCCCACATGTTGCTGCCGAGTCGATCTTCTTTGTCTCCAGTCGACCAGATTTCCTCATTTCAAAGTTTCCGAGATTTATTAGTAGGTGCTGCGGAATTTGGAATTGTAATTGCATTAATTGGAATGCCCTGTAGCCCTTCCATGGTCAATATCTGGCTCATTACTTTTCTTATTTGCCAAATTGGTTAGGTAGGCACTAGCCAAAAAACTCAAAGCCTACCTTTGAGGATTTCGCTATAAAGTGATTTTTCCACCAATTTTGTCAGCTCCAAAATTGCCACAAATGATAGAAAACTGACTGTTCAGAAAGAAATTATCCCTTTCAGCAGGTTCCGATCCGACGGAACTCCTTGAATCGTCCGGCTACGCGGCTCCCGCTCCTCACTACGTCACGGAGTTCGGAATGGACTATCCTCTCTCGTCACACATCAACAATAACACGTAGGCTATTTCATTTTAAATATGTGGTGTCTCAATCCCTTCCCAAGAGCCAGTTGAAAGGGTTGCCTCACTAGGCAGTAATGCATTAGCCGCAATGCCCCCGTTGCAGCAAATCTTCCTAGCAACCCAGCGAGCTCTTAACATAAGAAAAGCCCTCGGTTACGCTTTCGCTGGTATCGAACCAGCTCTTACCTTGTTGAGAAAATCAATTCTCAAAAGATTCCACTCTAGGGGGAGTCATGTATGACGTTGAGTGGAAGTTATGACTAATGCCGAAAGAAAAGGATCTTTTCAACCCCTTCTTCAGCATTTCTCAACAACTACTGTAAGCAAAGACTGCTGGGAACAGTCATATTGCGTTAGGACCAGTTCACCAATGATGCTCGCGCTACCGTAATCGACGGGTGAATCTTCCGCGATGAGCGTCATTTGTCATCCACTCCCATCTTTTCGACGAATCTTATGCTTCGAGAGTGAATAGCCGATTTCCCGACAACCGGGTTGTGATGGCAACGTTTCACCGGCAATGAATTTTTGAATTTTTGACCTGAAAAAGTGACTCCCGATAACGACTGGGCTCATTGAGTCTCCTTGGTTACTAGGCAGAAGTCGACTCACCGCTTCTTCCAAGTTGGATTTTTCCGTGGGCTAGTTAGTCCATTAGAATGCTAGACCGAAAGTCCTGGGATAGCGAAGCTCACAGCGTTGGATCGTACAGAAAGGGAGACATAAGTGAAGTGATCGAGGGTTGCCTGGGTATTGTTGCCAAGGACTGGGGAGAGCTGCGTTGCTACAGCACTGCCGAGTTCAGCATGACAACGGAAAGCCTTGACGGGTTAGCCTTTGGCAACCGTGGCTAAAAAACAGTTCAAGATCAGTTGAGCAACCATGGGTAAGACAGGGTTGATCCTAGAAGGTGAGCCTGAAGAATCTCACGTTCGATGTAGAGAAATATGCGCCACCGGTAACTGTATGAAAGAGAATGGATTAGTGAGGGCTATAATGAAATCTCATATGGCTATAAGGAGAACAAAAAATTGTCGGGCTTATCAGACGAGTGGCTAACTGGTGTGGCTGCGTGGCAGAGTGGGATATTTGGAACAGGAAGAGGTGTGTTTCTATGGGACCGATTACTTGGCGACGACGGTCGTCTGGCCAACGGGGGCCTATGCGTGTCTCCAAGGCGATCTCTTTCGTGAGTTTCTCCCCTCTCTCCCAACTCACATGCCCTGATCCTTCTACTGCCATCTCCTGTTCGCTCTTTAGCAGCGCTGAAGCTGATCAAGTGCTCCTCCCTGGAGATGCTGCGCAGGTGGCACTTCGCACTCACAAGGGAGGTCTTTCAGGGCAAGCCACGCAAAACGGTTTCTTGCATATTGTAGGGACGCATGTAGGGAACACAAAACCATGTTTCATTTTCGCTGAACGGTTTTAGCAGTACCAAAAAAGAAGCATAAGGTACTGTTAATGGTTCGATCCCCCGTGGCGACTAAATTTTGCATTTGGGTTGGCGCCTACGGGTTTGGTGCCAAATCGCGCTAAATATCAAAATCAATTCATCGTCAGGACCATTTTGAAGCCAACAAGTGGCCGCCAACCTTGATTGCAAAATTTTAGTCGCCGCGGGGGATCGAACCATCAAGGGTATTATTCACCACTTTTTTGGTACTACTAAAACCGTTCAGCGAAAACGAAACATGGTTTTGTGGTCCATACATGCGTCCCTACAATATGCAAGAAACCGTTTCCAAAAAGCGCGGCTTGCCCTGAAAGACCTCCCTTGTCAGTGATCCCTTCTTGTTCCCGCAGGAGTCTAGAACTTGAACTTAGAAGGTTTGGAAACACTTAGTTCCAACCTTCTCAGGTACAGTGCTTACCCCTGGATAAACCTTTATAGGAAAGTTGAGGGCGCTCACGTCCTTGGGGGAGGGAGAGGGACATTCAAAACAGAGTATTCAAAAACCGCTGGTAGGTGACGCTAGGACTGACGGTGAGCCCAATAGAGGGGAAGAAGGGCAGGAAAACAAAAAATTTTGATGTGATTTCCCAGAACCCCCTCGCCTCCGTAAAGCTTAGTCTCAGGTCTTGTGAGAGGCTCATTCACTCGGGTTCCCCCCCCTATCCTCTCCCCTCCCCCCTCACCACGAAATGAGCGGAGGAATAGCTAGGTGCAGTAACCTTATGGGGATTTTTTTGAACAGAAAAGATTGAATATCCACAACCCCAATTTTGTGCAGAACGAGCGATTCATTCCTTCCGCAAAAAGTTGAAACCCCCTCCTTTTTTTTGAAAACTGTATAAAAATTGATATGCAGATCAAATATAATGATGTCATACTGCCGCAATCTTGCAACTATGTGATAATCATGCGATGTTTGCTGAATTCCACTTCAATTTCACAATTTTCACATAAAAACATCTTCGTAAAGTGGCATGTAAGATGTTTTTGTGAGGTGAGAGTGTCCATTTTCTTAATCCGTTTCCATTACGTGGGTCTATCTCGGAGGTAAATCTTCTAGTAGCGGCTAATTGCTGTAGTCTTGTCTGTAGGTGGCCAGGTGGTATCGGCTAGCGACCTAAGACCCCGTCCGGTCCCCTCTGACTCTCGAATTCACCCGCCCACACCCATACGCGGTAAACTCTATAGCGCCAAGCTGAGCAGAACGACAATGGTTCTTTTCAGTACAACCACCTATGTCTACGCTGACAACACTCAATACAACAACTATTATCAGGTACTTTCGATCGGCAAACTCTCAAGTGGATGCTCTTCTCTAAGTTCATTTCTTTCAGTATTCCGGAAATGTGCACTCTCCAACGCAGTCCTACATGCTGCACCACGGCTCGCAGTCCCCGGTCTCGGTAGAAGACGACAACTCAAGCGGACTCGGAGCGGCTACCAGAGCTTCACCGGCAACTGTAAGTGATTTTTGACTCTCAAAGTAGCAGACAGTTGGTTTTGATGGGTACTAGAACTTCATTTGAGCAACCTGCATAGCTCGTCAGCGTAATTAGTCGGCAGTTCTGTAAACGCCAAATTGCGGATCACAAGCGGCAGATTAGGCGCCTCACCTGGTCAATCGTGACCCGCGGTGGGCATTTACAGTTGCGCTTTTGCGCTCAACGAGCGCACATGGCCCATTGACGCTGCAAATCATGAACTACCCGCAAGCAACCCCTCTCTCGAATGACTGGTTATTGTCACTTGTCATAGCTCTGTTGTTCACGGGACCACACCTGGAACTCGTTATTTGTTCCCAAGGCAGTTGTTTGAATAATGCGAGCAAAATGTGAGCTATTTCGAAGATTAGCGCGTTTTGGGAGTTGGCGGAAAACATTCAGATCTGC